GCATGTGCTTTTTGAGTTATGCTAATTCTTGGTGCATTGGATCGTCGAATCTGCTCTTCAACACTATATGGCTTAAATGCAATCGACTTTTCTGTTATATTCTCAACTTTATCATCATCTTTTGACATTTCTGCTAACATAGGTAGACGAGATTTACATTTAGGGCACACCTGCTTCCAATTATCAATATTCTTCTTGTTACAGCTAGAACAATATTTACTACAACGACTACTTAAACCTATATTAGAAGCAATTGAATCAATCGTATTAGTCGCAGATGATTTTTCTTCGCATAACAAATCAAGTAATTCAGAAATATATGTATGTAATTCTTGGTCAATAACTTCTCACATTTCAGATATAGTATCAAAAAGGCTTTCATATTGCAACCTACTTAGGGAATTAAAAATCCAAGGATTATCATTAGTATGCTGGATACAATTATAAGAGTCCATATTGAAAGCAACAAAACTGGTAATGATATGAAATATAACCGTATTAAGCCCCCGATCTAAATAATTTTTTTGCCCCCTTTGTTCATTATTGAATGCTAAGAATAAAAGACCGTCTGGTAAAATTTCTTCTTTTTCACCTAATTCATCTAACCATTTCTGAAAACTAGAATAACTCTCTGAGCTTGTAATATGGTTATCAACATTAATGATAGTTTTGGATCGTGCGATGGAATATTTAATGGCTGACGCCATAAGACCCATTTCTGAGACATATTTTCCATATCTGGACCCGTATACCGAATCAACTGCCATCACCCTCTTATAAAGTTTTTCAGCGCTTTTAGAACCTGCATCGAAATTATTACTAGTTAGTGTTTCGATAAATTTTACAACAACCGGATTACGTTTACTTAGCCATGTTTGTGGAGTATATTCTAATAGATTTTCTAGAGAAAATCTATTGTTATTTCTAATAAGAGATTCGACATCTTCATATAATGCTTCTCGTTCGATTAACGCAATATCAATAACGGCTTGTATACGCTTATGCTGATTGCTATACCGAGAATTCCACTATTCAGTTAGCTGTTCATTTACTTCATATTGGCTTTCGTATAATTCTCTTAGCTGAGCTATCATTTTATAGCATTCTTCTAGTTGCTTGTTTAACCTGGATATTATATCATTTTTACTTTTTACTTGCTGTTGTAATTCTGTTATTATATATTTATTATTATCTGCAAGTATTTCAAAATCTAACAAGTGGCGTGATACATCTTCAACAATCATTTTATTAAATTCGAAAGCAGAGGTAGAATCGTTATTAGAACTATCTTCAAGACAGGATCTGTTACTAGAACTACCTAAAAGTTGTTGGTAAAAATGATCAGAAACTACAACTTGATTATAATGGTTTACGCAAAGAGAAAATTGAGAAAATTGTCGATCACTAAGTTCCGATATTAAATCTTTAAGTGCTTCAAGTTTACTAGCCGCTGATGGCGCATTAGCGTTTCTCCAATGATCCGATTTTGGCATTCCACAAACGTTTAACCCCCGACTACTGTAATTACGAACTAGATCAAGAAATATGCAGGGAAGTTCTTTGGCTTTTGGTCCTTGCTTGACTGATGAGG